AGGAAAATATAGGAGGCTGAGCATTCTATAATTAGTCTGATGTTTAAAACAGTATTTCACTATTTTTATTTTATGTATATGAAAGAACACTGTGTGTGGTGCCTGCATATGTGTAAGTGCACCTGTGTTGTGCAATGCACATGGAGGTCAAAAGAGGGCGCTTGATTTCCCTGGCACTTGAGTTACAGATGATTGTTAGCTGCCATATAGGTGCTGGGAATCAAACCCAGATCCTCTGCAAAAGCAGCCAGTGCTATTAATTGATGAGTCATCTCTCCATCCCTGATATGTTTTAACACATCAGGGTCATAAGAAAGGAACCACACTAGAGGAAAACTGACAGAGGCTAATACCCTCTTATTAATTGCTCCCATATTTAGCACAGTGCTTAAAACTCAGGAGCACTTTAACGTTTTCTAAGTTTAAGAACTCAGTCACAATGGGGGTGGTGGTGTACACCTTTAATCCCAGCATTTGGGAGGTGAGCAGATCTCTGTGAGATTGAGGCCAGCCTGGTCTGTGAGTTCCAGGCCAGCTGGGGCTGCAGGGAGACCCTGTCTCAAAAAGACACATACAAAAGAACCCCAAGGCCCCCTGCCCAAAACTCAAGTCTCTATGCTCCCATATTATCAAAAAATACTTGCCTCAAAGAGACAAACTGACAACCAAAGGAATTTCCAGTGAGTAAGAATGTCCTTAACCAAATTGCAGAATTTCCTGGTTCTTACTTTAAATGGCATATCCTGATTAAAAACAGAAGCAACTTAATGGGTGGGCTTGCTGGCAGAGATGCAACCTTGTTGCCTGCACCTTCCAATATAACCCAATCAGTCTGCTCTTCTACTACCAGCCTAACTTACATTACTGACTCAAGACTAACAAGAATATCCTGCTTCTCTACTTCTCTAACCCTCCATTTTATTTCCAGATAGCTGCCAGGGAAATCCCTTTAACAACAAAGTCGTATCATGTCACTTCCTTGTTCCCACTTCCAGTGTGACCCCATCACTGTGTAACCTTTGTAGTAGTCTCTCACCACCTTCTGTCAGGCTTCCTTCTTCATACTCCACTCTAGACACACTGGTCTTGTCCCCTGACCATGCTGCACTCTATTCTTATATTCCTCTATTCTTGTTCCTTCAGCTAAGAACATGCTTCTTCCAGATGCTGCCAGACAACTACCTTTCCTTCTTGGGACCCTGGCCTATCCTCAGCTTAGGATGGCCTTCCTGAACACTATCTTTCAAATTCTACTTCCCTCTCCGCTGAAAATGCCTTACCCTGCATTTTATGTTCATACATAAACATAAGCATGTGCATACACTTATTTTGGTTATCTGTTTACTGTCTCCTCCACTATCATGTAAGTGGCACAAAGCAGAATCTAGTTTTCTCACTCAGTACCTATGACACCATATTTCTTTCTTTTTTTTTTTGGTCTTTTTGAGACAGGGTCTCCCTGTAGCCCCTGCTGTCCTGGAACTCACTATGTAGACCAGGCTGGCCTTGAACTCACAGAGATCCACCTGCCTCTGCCTCCCGAGTGCTGGGATTAAAGGTGCGCCACCACGCCCAGCACCATTATTTCTTTTTTAAAAAATATTTATTATTTTTATTTTATGTGTATGAGTGTATTGCCTGCATGTAAGTTAAGTACACCTGTGTACTGCAATGCCGCAGAGGTCAGAAGAGGGTTTCGGATTCCTCTGGAACTAGAGTTAAGGATGGTTTGTAGTTGCCATGTGGGTGCTGGGAATTGAACCCGGGCTATGACACCATATTTATATGATAGACATTCTGTGGTTTATTAGAAGGAATAACACGAAGATGTTGAATGATTAGGATGAGCAGAGAGTGATTAAGAAAATTGTGTATTTTTACTCAGAATACATCTTAATTCATATAAAACAAAAAGCAAACTGCAAATACTATGCATTCTTTGTTGTATCTACACTGTATCCAATGACTATATGAGTGGTAGCCACTTTATGAGCTGTAAGAGGTATAAGACCAAATGAAAAACAAAACAAAATATAAAGAACCCAGAGATTTCCTATTAATACTGGAGACTCTGTAATAGGGCACCTTCTTGATCATAGGTACGCCATGTTAAAGTTTAGGCTGACTCTAGTCTCTGAAATTATCAGACAGTTGGCCCAGGATATGGGAGCACATGCAAGCTGGACCCTGGTTGTCTTGGGAACAAGTCAGAGCATCCTAGGGAGCTCCTGCTAACTGCTGATTTATGGCTTCTGTAGGTTATGCTTGGCTTGCTTCTGCAAAATAGTAATTGTTGCTTAATAGAATAGAAATTATTTAGGTGACTCTCCATCTGTATGCTTGGGAACCTAAACTTTTCATTCCTGGTTATAGTTTCTCTGTACAAAAAGTATCCCACAACATTTAGAGGGTCCTAAGATACAACTGCTATACAACAAAACCCTCCTAGACAGAACTTCGTGACTGGTCAAGACAAAGTAGAATAACAGTAAGATTGATAATGTCTTTATGAAAGAAAAAGGAAGCTAGTTCCATGCAGGTGGGGGGTTTGGATGGAAAATTGCATTTTCTTATGTATTTCCTTGATAATATTTGCTCAAGCTTGATGTTCAATGATTGGCTTCTGTATTGTTTGCTTGCCTAGCAACATGACCAATATAAAAAGAGCCAGAGTGCTTAGGCTCGGTGCTGCACTCCGACCCTCTAAAAAAGAGTGTAGCCCAGCTGTGTAGCCCGCTGTAATAAATCTTTTTTTCTTTCTCCAGACACACCTGTTTGTGGATCCCAGACTATAACAACTCCATTATCTTCACTGACAGAAATTACTTAACAACACTGTGTAGAATTCGTCCCGGGAAGCCTCAAAAGGTCAGTCAGGCCATCACTGACCTCTTCCTAGTGTTTATCTTTTACCAACCCAATACACAAAACTATTAATGTTCTCTGATAGTAGGAATTTTTTTTATTTTATTTATCATTTTTATTTTATGTGTATGTGTGTATTGCCTGTGTATAGGTAAGTGCACCCATGTCATGCAATGCCCATGGGGGTCAGAAGAGGCTATTGGATCCCCTGGGACTGGAGTTATGGAGAGTTGTTAGCTTCCATGTGTGTGCTGGAATTCAAACTCAGGTCTTCTGCAAGAACAGTGTTCTTAACCGCCGAGCTATCTCTCCAGCCCCTGGTAGTAGGATTTAACCTGCTCATGAATATGAGTAAAGAGAGAGAGATTCCAAAATCTTTTACTGGGCGACAGGCATAGCTCAGTGCTTAGTGGTAGAATACTGCTTTGCATGTACAAGGCATTGGATTCAATATCTAGCACTAGGGAAAAAAAAAAAAACCTACATTTTTCTTCACCTCTCTACATTTTTTTCTTTTCTTTCTATTTTTTCTCTTGTGTATGAGTATACTGCCTGCAGAAAGGAGTGTACCTGTGTCACGCAATGCCTAAGGAGGTCAGAAGAGGGCATCAGATCCCCTGGAACTGGACTTATGGACAGATATTAGCTGCCATGTAGTTGCTGGAAATCAAACCTGGGTCTTCCGCATGAGCAGTCAGTGCTCTTAACCACTGATCCATTTCTCCAGCGCCCTCCCACCTCTCTATTTTTTTTTTCAACTGAACACCAGAGATATCTCTGATCAAACAGGAGATAAATCAATTATTTAGATAAATAAGACAAACTAGAAACAGATCCTTTTTGTTCTAAATTACTTCAACTTTTGCATTTTTTTTTCTCTGCAAATGTGTATCTGCACTAAGGCAGGCAGATCTCTGTGAGTTCAAGGCCAGCCTGGTCAGAGAGACCCTGTCTCAAAAGACCAATAAATAAATAAGGAAACAAACCCAGCAAGAATGCAATCCTGTTAAGCTCAATAGGAAGACTAACAATAGCTGTTATTTTCAATGTATTTAAATGAAACATTTACTTTTATAACATTTATTATTATTTACTCAAGAAAGTACTGTTGATCCAACCACAATGAAAAATTCTAGATATTATCTGAATGGATTCACACTTTTTTCCAAAATCTTCCTATATAAACCAATTATTTGGAACTGAAAACAGCTGCAAAGAATGCAAAGACTTGACAGGCTGGAGAGATAGCTTAGTGGGTAAAGTGCTTGTCACACAAGCATGAAGTCCTAAGTTCAGATCCCTAGAATCCACATAAAAACTTGGGCACAGGGGTTAGCTCCAGTGTTGGGAGTTGGAGGAGCAGAGACAGGCTGACATGAGGGGCTTGTTTGGCCAATCAGTCTAGACAAAAAGCAATCTCCAGGTGCAGTAAGAGACCCCATCTCAAAAAGATAAGGCGGAGAAGTGGCTGAGGAAAACATCCCCACATCAATCTCCGACCTCCACCTTATGGGTGAGCACACCTGTATGTGTGTACACAACAGAAACACAAAATGAAAAACATAGTAATAAACCTTGAGTCTAATTCTTAGACCTGACAAAGCTATTCTTCTGCTGACTGTTAAAGATGTAGATTTCAACTTTCTAATATTTCATAATAATTTTCAGTAATTAAAGAAATTTAATTAAGTAAAAGGGTCACAAAATAAACCTTAAGACTAAATTGAACTGGATGTCTCACCATTAAATAAAAATGTAAACAATAAAGCTGGGTGTGGTAGCAGGCACCTTTAATCCCAGCACTAGGGAGGCAGAGGCAGGCAGATCTCTTATGAGAAGCCAGCTTGGTTTATGTTGGGAGCTCCAGGCCTTCTGTGCCTCCAAATTAAAAAAAAAAAAAAAAGTTTATTTTCTCATACTGTTGTGTCTTCTGTAGTGGCAATAAAGTTCAGTAACTTTTCATACAAAGGAAGAAACTCTAAAGAGGTGATTATACAAGGTTCTTTCACTCATTTGTATCTATTAACACAGAGTAAAAGACATGGCAGTAATAACCACTTTAAACCTTAAATAATGCTTCACTTGTAGTTAGTAACTAAATGTGAGCAAAAGTTTAATATAAAAACAACTACAACCTTTTGATTTCTTTACATCAGGTTCAGGCTCAGATTCTCGGATGAACTGTCCCAAGTCACTGACTCTTCCAAATGTCATCTTCCTAAATATGATAAAAAGAATAATATAATTTCTAAAAATTAAAACCAAGTTTTAGTACCTCATTGAAATCTAAAAAGTCCATAGAAATTCCATGCTATTCAAGTGAAGTTTATTTGAAACAGAACCTCTTTTCATGGAGACTAAAATAGTCTCTAATTCAATGGAAAGGTTTATAAAACATAACAGTAGGTAATCCATACTCTTAAAATTCATAGAAAGAGAACAGGCACGAGAATAGCTAAGACAATTTTGCAAAAGAGAAAACAAAATTCAATCTGCTCTACATGATCAGAATATATTATAAACAGGGGCTGAGGTTGTAGATTTGTTGAAATCTGTGTGCTTAGTACAAGCCAGGCCCTGGGTTCAATTCTTGGCACAAAGCAAAACCCATCCAAAATTCATGAATGAAAATATAAACACAGAATAGAGTTTAATATCAATTATGTAAAATGACTATGAAGATGCACAACATACTGCACAGTGATTACTCTGAGCAGGCAAGGGAGAAAATAATAATTGGTGTGTGATTAAAGAACACATTGACCTTATCTACATTTATTGAAATAAGCTTATTTTAGTCTTTTTTGAGACAGGATCTCCCTGTAGCCCTAGCTGGCCTGGAACTGGCTATGTAGATCAGGCTAGCCTTGAACTCACAGTGATCTGCCTGCCTCTGCCTCCCGAGAGCTGGGATCAAAGGCATGTGCCACCACGCCTGGCTGAAATAAGCTTATTTAAAAAATGTATTTAAGGGCTGGAGAGATGGCTTAGCGGTTAACAACTGTCCTTAACTCCAGCTCCAGGAGATCCAATGCCCTCTTCTTACCTCCTCCGTGGGCACTACAGGACATGGGTGCATCTACTAACACACAAGCAATACACTCATACACGTAAAATAATAAATAAAAGATTAAAAAAATATATATTAAAATATTTGTAATTACAAGTTAAAAGAGAAATATCAAGGAAAACAAAAAAAAAAACAACAAAATAAAGAATAAGCCAAAGCAAATACAAGTTAAAAGAAGAAAAACAAATTTTCTGATATTTTACTTCAGGCAAAAGGAATCTGATTTTAGAAATAGTCTTCCTAGTAAGTCCTCATTTCATATATGGCATATAATATGCACGACAGTACACCAACTGAAAAAATTTATTCCTTGGGAGAAACTTCAATGAGATGCTAAAATCCATAAAACTAAAATAAACACCAAAACTTTCAAGGATAATGAAGAAAAATAATCATTTTTCTTCTCTGATCCATTTTACACATTTTTCAAAAAAAAAATCTACACAAAAAAATTGGAGAGGTAAAACATTTGGCAACTGGAGACTTTTTCATATTAGGTTTTAAGTAAATGAATGATTTTATAAGAATCAATTTCATTTTCGGGAAAGAACTCATTTGGCTTATTATCCCAAATTTTCTTTTCTGGGTAAATGTACTGGTGTACTTGTTCTGGTATACTTACTTGTTCACATGTGTATGTGTGTGCATGTGCATGTGTGTGGAGACCAGATGTTGGATGTCATCCTCATCTACTCTCCACCCTATTTCTGTTTTAAATTTTTGTTACATTTATTTGTGTGTGTGTGTGTGTGTGTGTGTGCGCGTGCGTACGTGCTCGCACATATAACACAGCACTTCTGTGGAGGTCAAAGGACAACTTGCAGGAGGTCAGTTCTCTTCTTACCATGTGGGCACGCTTGGTGGTTAAGTGCCTTTACCCACTGAGCCATCTCACCAGTCCATCAACCTTATTTTTTGAGATAGGTCTCTCACTGAACTTGGAACTTGTCAATTCAATTAGACTGGCTGGCCAGTGAGCCCCAGGTTTCCTCATACCTCTCCAAAGATGAAATTACAGGCTGGCCCTACCATGCCTGGCTTTTGTTTTCCTTTAATGTGTATGAATTATTGCTTGCATGTATGTAAGTGTACCCATGTCATGCAAAGCCCACAGAGGTTAGAAGAGGGCAACAGATTCCCCTGGAACTAAAGTTACAGATGGTACAGACAGTGTTAGCCATGTGTTTCTGTGAATTGAACCTGAGTCCTTTGCAAGAGTTGCCAGTACTCTTAACTACTAAGCCATCTCTCAAGCCCTTAAAAAAAAAAAAATTATTCTTTTTGCATGCCTGGCTTTTTAAGTGGGTGCTGGGAGTCACCCACTTGCAGAGCAAGTACTTTAGTGATGTCCCATCTCACTCTACCATTTTGAAAAGGAGATCACTATGATCACTAAAGATCACTACAAAACTGAGTGGGCAAGATGGCTCAGTGGATAAAGGCATTTGTTTAGGCAAGTCTAGTGACCCAAGTATGATGCCCAGACCCCATGTATGTAAAGGTGGAAAGAGGAAAACAACGCCACAGTATGGTCCTCTGACTTCTTTTTTTCTTTTGTCTTTTTGAGATAGGGTCTCCTTGTAGCTCCAGTTGGCCTGGAACTCGCTATGTAGACCACCAAGCTGGCCTCGAACTCAGAGATCTGCCTGCTTCTGCCCTCCCAAGCGCTGCAACTAAAGGCATGGGCCACCATGCCCTGCTAAGAAGTAAAATTCTTTATACTTGGAAGTTTTTCACATGAGTTAAACTTACCCTGCATATGTCCGTTGATATAGAGATTCTGGATCTAGACTTGCAGCATCTACAATTATTGCTTCATCAAAATTTTTCAGAATTTTAATACTGGCTTTTTTCACACTAGACTACAACAGAAATTGTAAAATTAGTAGTATACTATTAAACAAACAAACCAATCCTGAGTTTAGAACATAAGAGATTGGTACAACGTTTTCCTCAGTGTCTCAAATATGCTTATCTTTCATCTAACTACTTCACTACTGAGAAATTTAATGGTAATGATTCTGAAACATATCATTAAGCTATAATGAAAGAAGGAAAGCACAAGATTAAAATATATGACAAAGGTATTTATGTATCACACGCACATTACACACACATGCAAAACTTTTAAAAATTAAAGAAATTGAGTTCACTAGTAACTCTATAAATAAGTACCTGCAATTTAGTTATTAAAAGTTCTCAAATAGGGGCTAGAGAGATGGGTCAGCAATAAAGAACACTGATTGTTCTTGCAAAGGATCTGACTTCGGTGCCCAGCACCCGCATGGCAGCTAACAATCATCCGTTATTCCAGCTTCAGGGGCTCCAACACCCCTTGTCTGACCTCTGCAGGCACTGCACAACATGGGTGCACTTACATACATGCAGGCAATACACTCATACACATAAAATAATAAATAAAATATTTTAATTTCTCAAATAGCAGCTGGAGAGATGGCTCAATAGTTAAGAGCACTGCTGCTCTTGCACTGGACCTGGGTTCAGTTCTCAGAATCCACATTGCAGCTAACAACCATGTGTAACCTCAGTTCCAGGGGATCTGACACCCTCTTCTGGGCCTCCATGGGCACTGCATGACATGGTGCACCTACAACTATGCAGGCAAAATACACATACACATAAAATAAAAAAATTTTTAAGTTGAAAAAAATCTAGGCTGGAGAGATAGCTCAGTGGTTAAGAGCACTGACTGCTCTTGCAGAGGACCTAGGTTCAAATCCCAGCACCCACACTGTGGCTAACAACTATCCATAACTCCTGTTTGGGGGAATCCAACACCCTCTTCTGTCCTCCTTGGACACTGTATGACATGGATGTACTACCATACATACAGGCAACAAACTCATACATATAAAAATAAATTTAAAAAAGAAAAAGAAAAAAATTTCCCAAGTAATTGTAGTAAGGGCTCTTCAGAAGCTATAACTATATTTCAAAATATTTGATTACTGGGATGGGGATATAGTAAAGTGCTTGCCATGCAAACGTAAAGATCTGAACCCAGACAGAGATCCTGGGCATGGCAGCATGCTTATAATCCTAGCCCCTGGCAGCAGATTCTTGGGGCTTGCTGGCCTGCTAGTCTAACCTAATCATCGAGCTTTAGACCAGTGAGAACCCTATTTCAAAATCAAAGTGAACAATATCTGATGAACAACATCAGAGGCTGACCTCTAATCTCCAGACGTGTGTGCGTGGGCTTGCACATGCATGTACACACACACACACACACACACACACACACACACACGTTTGATTAACAAGAGGAAAAAAGGCATCAAGCAGATTAACAGCTTTAATGAAAGAATGATGGTATTCACAATAAAGCACATGGTTAATCACCATCAGTAGTTTGATTAGAATTTATAAGTCAATTTAATTTCTTTTTGTATCTACGACTTAAAATGTATGAATAGAGCTGGGCATGGTAGTGCACTGCTTTAATCCCAGCACTCAGGAGACAAGGCAGGTGGATCTCTGTAAGACTGAAGCCAACCTGGCCTACATAGTGCGTTCCAAGCCAGCTGGGCCTATAGGGAGACCCTGTCTTAAAACAAACAAAAAAGCTTAAGTAGAACATCTCTTGCTGGTACCTAAAGGGAAGACTCTGTATGCCTTTCACCCTAATGACAGATTCAAATCAGACGATACCTGAGAGGTGGAGCCATCAGAACCACCTGAGTGAGACTCCTCAGGAAGGCAGACCGAGCCATGAGTGGCCAGTGAAACATTCCCCCCAAGAAATTCATCTCCTCGAACTGAATGGATGAGGTCATTCAAGTATTTATAATAAAGATTGCTGGACAAAAAGCCAGGCAGAAAGACCTAAAAGGAGAACAGCATTTTTAAGATGAATATCAAATGCACCTACTTCTTTAAGTAGTCTTACCAAAGCCTTGCATTTACTTCTCCTTTTTACGCTATTATTCTTTTGTAGGTTACATTGCCACTAAAATGAAAATACGTACAATTTCGTTTGTCCTCTCCAACACTTGTAATGGAAGTTACATAATGAGCAGAAAACAGTTCATAGAGTAGATATAATTTGAGATGAGATGTTGTTTGTGATAGAATACCAGTTTTTAAAATCACATATTAATTCTGAATTAACTGACTACCCTAAGTTACATTACAAGGAATTTGATTCCTGAGCTAAATTTTTAACTTTGGAATATACTGCCAATATACCTTTCAAAAGGATGTCATCAATATGTAAGATTAGAAACACATCAGAAATTATCTGTTTCCAATAAGGTTTCCAACACTGTGTGTTTTTAAATACCTAATAATATTTGTTAAGTAAATACTTAATGGAACATAAATGTTTTTATAGTCACTTAAGAATTAGCCATCCTGAGCCAGGTGTGTTGCTGTATGCCTTTAATCCCAGCACTCAGGAGGCAGAGGCAGGCAGATGTGAGTTCAAGGTCAGTCTGATCTAATAGTTAGTTCCAGGTCAGCTGGGGCTACAGGGAGAACCTATCTCAAAACGACGACAAAAAAATTAGCTAACCTGGGGCTGGAGAGATGGCTCAGCGGTTAAGAACACCGACCGCTCTTGCAGAGGATCCAGGGTCGATCCCCAGCACCCACATGGCAACTAACAACCTTCCGTAACTCCAATTCCAGGAGATCCAATGCCCTCCTATGATCTCCAAGGGCAATGCAAGACATGGGGGCACTTACATACACGTAGGCAATACATTCATACACATAAAACAAAAATAATAAATAACATATTTTTAAAAAAAGAATTAGCCATCCTAGGCCATGGTGGCACACACCTTTAATTCTAGCACTTGGGAAGCAGAGGCAGATCTCTGTGAGGTTGAGGCCAGCCTGGGCTCCACAGTGAGTTCCAGACCAGTCAGAGGTACACAGTGAGACTCTGCCCCTACCCCACCCCCGCAAAAAAAGTTAGCCATGCATGCATGCCTGCAGGCAGATCTCAGTGAGCTTGAGGCTAGCCTGATCTACATAGAGAATACCAGGCAAGCCAGGGCAAATAACATGACGCTGTCTGTATTAAAAAAAAAAAAAGTACTGGGACTGAAGAGATGGCTCAGTGGTTAATAACACTGGTTGTTCTTGCAGAAGACCCAGGTTCGAATTCCAGCACCCATATGGCAGCTAACAACTGTCTGAAACTCCAGTTCCAGGGGATCCAACAGTCTCTTCTGTCCTCTGCGGGCACTGCATGACACGGGTGCACTTATAGGCAATACATGCATACACATAAAATAAAAATGAAATATTTTTAAAAAGTGTTGACAATGAATAAATAAAAAATAAAAGAAAAAAAGTGCTGCATAAGTTCTCATGCTTATTTGCATTTCCCATTATAAACTTCCTTCATAACATGTAATGAAATTATAGATATTTCTGTTTGTAATTAAAATGTCTTCTTTAAAGCCAGACGTGGTGGCACATGCCTTCAATCCCAGCACCTGGGAGACAGGCAAACAAACTTCTGTGAGATCAAGGCCAGGCTAGTCCACTATTAACACCAATAACACCAATAACTAGTACAGAAATTCTAGAAAGTATTTCCTGAATCAATCATTCATATTTTCATCATTTTCTTACCTACCTACCAGGGTCTGCTAGTGTATGACTGGCCGGGCATGGTGGTGCACGCCTTTAATCCCAGCACTCGAGAGGCAAAGGCAGGCGGATCTCCGTGAGTTCAAGGCCAGCCTGGTCTTCATAGGGAATCCAGGCCAGCTAGGGCTACAGGGAAACCCTGTCTCAGAAAAGACAAAAAAAAAAAAAAAAAAAAATTAGTATAATCATTACTATTATTATAATTTTGAAACAGGGTCACACTATGTCACCCTGGCCATCCTGGAACTTGCTATGAAGACCAGGCCTAGTTCCACCTTATTTATCTGTTTGCTTCATTTTTTGAGACAGGATCTCCGTGTAGCCTCAGCCGGTCTAGAACTTACTATGTAGATCAGACTGACCTCAATCTCACAGAGATCTGCTTGCCTCTGCCTCCTGATTACCAAGGTCTATCAATGGACTTGAAGGTCACCAATTGGCTACACTTGCTGGCCAGCCAGGGATCCTCCTGTTTGTTTTCTCATGCTAGGATCATAGATGCACAACTCTACTCCTGGCTTTTCATCAAAGTACTGAGGATCTGAACTCAGGTCCTTATGATTATGCGGCAAGCACTTTTTATAAACAGCTATCTCCCTAGATACTAGATTCAGTTTTTTGTGTGTGTATGGCATCTTAAAACTTTATTATTTTTTATTTTATGTGTATGAGTGTACTGCCTGCATGTGTGTAAGTGTACCCGTGTCCTGCAATGCCCACAGAGGCCAGAAGGGAATGTTGGATCCCCTGGAACTGGAGTTCTGAATGGTTGGTTGTTAGCTGTCATGTGGTGCTTTGAATCAAACCTAGGTCCTTAAGAGCAGCCAGTACTCTTAACCGCTGAGCCATCTCTCCAGCCTGTATATGCCATAACAATTTCAAATAACCTTTTTCCACCTGGATAAACATAATGTGTATTAGCAACATAATTTCATGTGTTTACCCTGGACTCAGTGCAACTCTCAATAAATCAGCTCTAGTTCATTAGAACAATAAATCATTCATAAATATTAACACTATTATTAATAAGCTATTAGCAATAACTTCTACATGATCAAGACACATAAAATTAGTGCTTCATTTTTTAAGGACAGATAATGGTAAAATATTTATAATCATTCAGAAGTTAATTTTGCCCTATACATATCTAAAAATAATAGTTGTTCATTAAATTAAAAAGCATTTTATGCCGGGTGTGGTGGTGCACACCTTTAATCCCAGCACTTGGGAGGCAGAGGCAGGCGGATCTTTGTGAGTTCGAGGCCAGCCTGGGCTACCCAGCGAGTTCCAGGTCAGCTAGGGCTAAACAAATTCCCTTTTTCAAAAAAAAAAAAAAAAAAAAAAGCATTTTATACTTTTTTTTTTTTTTTTGGATCTTTTTCAGACAGGGTCTCCCCATATAGCCCAGCTGGCCTGGAACTCACTATGGAGACGAAGCTGGCCTCAAACTCAGAGATCTGCCTTCTGTCTCCCAGTGCTGGGATTAAAGGTGTGTACCACCAAGCCTGGCTCTCATTTTAATAGTTTAATAACAACTTCGATATTATTTCTATTTTATAGGTGAGGAAAATGATATTAGAGAAGTCCATTAACTGCCTGGGTCATTTAGCCTATAAAAATGAAGGTTAGCTGGGCATGGTGGCACATGCCTGTAGTCCCAGCACTTAGGAGACAGAGGCAGGCGGATCTCTGTAAGTTCGAGGCCAGCCTGGTCTACATAGTGAGTTCCAGGCCAGCTGGGACTACAGGGACACCCTATCTCAAAAACACCAAA